ACTGAACCTTTTTTGTAGCAAATAAAATTGTCTACAAAACATAATTAATACAAAATCGCTTTATCTCGCTTACTTTTTGAGATATTTTCAAAAATCTATCATGCTGTCACAGATGCGCGCGAGACTCTCGAGCTATAGAGAATATAGAAGAAAAAGAGAATATATTTAAGAAAAAGTGTTTTATCGCGTTATACTGTTTATATTTAGACGAAGCCAACAATAGGTTGTCTATCTCTCTTGCACGCATGTAAGCTAAGAGTTTGGCATGCGTGCCATGGCGACCTATGTCACAATGAGTAAGAGCAAGATAGCTTCATTTTCTGTTTCTTTCTACAAAGGTGTAGGACTAAGGGAATAATTACCTGTCTTTAAATAGGGATATTTCCTACAGGTAAATATCTATAAATATAAATCCAACACCAAAATTTAAAAAATAAATTAAAAATTCATATGAAAAAGAAAATTTTTCTAAATAACCAGTTTTAAGCGAAATATCGAGCAAAAACCGTTTTCACCCCTTGATTTTTAATAAAAGGGATGAAAAAAAAAATTTTTTCCCCTACGATTGTTCTTTGTAGTTTTTTAAAGATAATTAAAAAAAAAATTTTAAAAGTCCAATTTTTTTATTTTTTTATTGAATTTTCATTTCTTCAGTACTTTGAACCGTCGTAGGGGTGAAAGGGTGCGTTTTAGGGGAAAAATGTTTTGAAAGAGATAGGCCTAAAATTTTATGCTCTACAACTTTTATTTGAAACTTTTTTTGATATTTTCAACATATAATCCAACAAATCGTATTTCGGGGTAGTTTTTAATTTTTTTCACCCCTTTCCCGGTGGTTGAAAACTTTTTTACTTTGCCCACAATTTTGTACGCATTTTTTTGATTATTTTCATATTTTTTCAGCCGTATAGACCAAAAACCCGATTTCACGGCTATTCTGACTGGACTAATTACTTATATACATAAAAGTATCGATTGCATTTGGTAGATATGGTAATATAAACGCAGAATAAAGAATACTGCGTAGAATTCAACACGCCCCCTCAAAATTCAATCGATTAAATGTTTACATTAAGTCGCTTTTATGTCTTTTTAAATAAGATTATACTATTAACAAATAAATTATCTAAATAAAGACGAAACTTCCACTAAGTTTGACTCTAATTCTGGGAACAAATACATATGGTCCAATATTCATTGCTAAGGAGTGGGAAAACCCAGAAAAAACCCACCCAGACCACTTAAAACAATAAATGAATATATAGTAAATGATTTTAAGTCTGCTATCCATATAACTACTTCAGTCCCATTCCATCTCTGAATTCCAGGAATTTGACGGCTGGCAGTGACTTAGTTAAAGTGTCTGCTACTTGGTTACCTGTAGGAATAAATYCGAGTTTTATTACACCTTTTTCAACTTGTTCTYTTGTGAAATGGTACTTGATATCTATATGTTTCGATCGTCTGTGATTGCCTGGATTATTTGCTATACTGATACAGCCCATGTTATCCTCGTATATTACAATCGGTTCGGAAATATGTATATTAATACTAAACGCTAATGATTTTATCCAGAGGGCCTCTTTCACGGCTTCGAAGAGAGCCATATGTTCCGCCTTTGTAGACGAAGTAGCTACCGATGCTTGTCTTTTCGTATTCCAACTGATGGTACATTGTTCGTATAACTTAAATAAATATCCAGTTGTACTTCTCCGATCCGTTTGTTCATTACCTCTACAATCAGAATCGACATA